GGGGGGGGCGGGGCAAAAGTCCAAACGGTTTAGATGTTGCTGACTGTAATTTTTTTATTGCCTTCAAAATACGCAGGGCCTATAAAACAAAGCAGCGGTTGTCGTGCTAAAGGGTCCAGCTGCTTAGGAGGTGTCAAATTATTTCACCTCAGCTGGATACATGTGCCATTGGTAATCCAGGGGGGTGAGAAAAGTGCCAAACCCAGCAGACTTGGCACATTTGTCCTTTACCGCTGGCACAGATGAGCACACTGTGAGACGGCAGACTCATCGATAGGGGCCGCCCGGCGTTTAACTGTCTGTGAGATGAACCAGGGAACTGAACCATCAAGAGGGAAACGACAATAATTCTCCCCCCACGTGGAGAATATCCTGTTGCTGTGACTTAACAGTTCTGACGTAGGTCCAAATGATTATGACAGCGGTAACTGTGGGTGCACGTGTGTCGGTTTTCATGTGTAGGTAAATCAGATCACATCAGCCCAAGTGCCCACTTGTGGGGAACGTGTCCTGGCGGCAGTAGACACATATCTGAAAACCTATTCCTTTAAATGACCTGACAACCGAAAGCCCCCCAAATTGACCGGTTACGGAAATTACAAACACTTCCATGCCATTTTGTGGTGTCAGTTCTGATCAAATCTACTGCCTCTCCATTTTTTTTTTACTTCACAGAAAATTAACCTTGACTCCTTACAACCAGTTCAGTAAAAGAACCGAAGCCTTTTGACGTCTTTCCTTTATCTGGGCCTTGAATTCATTAAAACACGGCGACTCCCTGCTTTGGCTACGATGAGCTCAGTGCCCAGGCATCCAGGAAAGAATGGAAACAGTTAATATACTCTTTGTGTCACAGATGACACATCACAGGAGGCTTTTTGGAAACTCACCGGCTTTTTCCCTTCACCGGTCCGCCACCAGTGTTCCATTTTATGGACCCAGAACGCTGAGAAAAGACAGGTTTGTTGAGATCGCTTTCGGTCAAGTCACCAACGAAATGTTCCTTTCTTGTAAACACAACGGTGGCGGGTTACCAGCATTTTAATGCTGTCTCTTATCAAATGTGAGGTATGGTTTTGATCTGTTGTGGAAGCAGCGAGTCTGCTCCATTGGGCCCATTAGCAAACCTGTTTTCCATCTTTAAGCTATGTTTATTAGCACACTAAGGACTGTGAGTGTTCAAGGGTATTTCAAGGATGTGAACATTTAAGAATTCGACCTTTTTTCTTTTTTTTTTTTTTCATGTCAGACCACACATGTGACGTTAATGAAATTAGGAGTAATAAAAAAAAGCATTTTTACCCGTGTCCCTAATGGGTGGGTCCACCTTTTCCATGGCCAGAAAACAAGCTTTTTTTGCCCTGACTAAAGAGATGCACCTACTGCACACTTAGTAGAAATTCCTAATTCACTACAGGCTCACACACACACACACACTAGTTTGCCTGAAGTTCAGCGAGGACATGAGCAAGTTTGTCTCTGCACTCAATGGCCAAATAAAACGGTGCAGGCCCAAATTATAATACTAATGCAAATATATGGAGTAGTGCTTATAATACAAAGAGGCAGGAAGCCAAATGGGCATCAGCTTGGGCCAGTGAGGCAGTCTCATTTTTCCTCCTGACAGAAACGTCTACAACTAAGTGTGTGTCCTTTTAAGTAGAGTTTGGATTGTCAACAGAATGAAAATATACTGTGTGAGCACGACTAGATGGCTGTTCCTAAGCCAGGACACACAAATCTCACCTCCTGTGTAATACACAGCGCTCGCTGCCCGCATCCTAAACCCACCGCCCCACCCCTCCCCCCCCC